TGAAAAAAATCAATGTCCCATTTTAATAAATACATTCGCAGCAGTAAAACCAGTTATTGTCATTGCATTCAATTCATCTCGAATGCCCAAAGCCTGTTCATGCCTTCGGTATACGTGCCGCCTAAAACACCTCTTGTAGCATGACTGAAACCGATGTGACTCACTTGCTGGATTTCGTGCTGACCGATTGTGCCCCCACGATCTCTGACGACAGCGCAGCTCTGCACGACTGGCTCGCCCTACGCCATCTCCTGACACCGACAAGAGCTTTCGCTGAGTAGTGCTCCGTCCTCGGACCCCTGCGACCGTGTCCATCTTGCCTATCTTCTCCATACTTCTGGATGTCGCTGTCCCTGCGCCACGCTCTCTCCTTCCCCCCTCTCTCTATTTCTATAGCTTTTAATCCTATCCTTTTAATCCCTCCTTACCCCCATCTCTCGTGAGCTACTGTTGAGGTGTCCTCCCCCTGAGAGACAGTAATGGGGCTCACTTTTATCTTCTTTTCATTTAAGAATCACATAATCAAAAATTTCAGACCGAAAGTGCTCATGCCAGTGCACGGAACTGCCCATTCATATAGTACTCTCTTCAAATGTCATCCACTTTCTGTCTGTCTAAAAAAATAAAGCCACAGTAGCTATCACCAAACGGAATATAATGTGTTCAATATTTATTTATAGGTTGTCGAAGATATTTCCCGAATGATTTGCTTTCAAGAAGTGACATTACCAGTCGGCTAATCGCAAAGTGAAAATTATTTATCTGATTCATAGCAACTTCTTGAGTTTTCCGAGGAGACAGTGAGAGATATGAGTTGGTTGCACGCCTATAGTTTTTAAAAGCTTTCGCAAGATATGCTGAACACCCTGCATTACGAGTTGACCTGTATTGTTAAGGAACGACCTGTGAGTTGACTGCTTGAAGCACGTACAGTCGAGTGCATAATTTTAGAGATCATGAGAGCGCATGCCGAGGCGCGTCGCTGCGCCTTCTGGCGGCTGCACGGCTCTGTCCGGGAGCGCGCACTGCGCACGCTCGTCCCATATCACCCGGCAGCCTGTCCTTTCGCTCGTTTCAACGGTGCGCATCTCGAAACGATGCGGACGGTGCAAGTGTCACTTCTGTAGTCGCTGCGAAGACAATGAAAAACGCTGAGCGCTAATGTGACGACAGCACATCATTTGCGGGTTTCGGCGTGCTTGCACAGCCACTGCAGAAGTGGCACCTAGCGCCGTCCGCATCGTTTCGAGATGCACGCCGTTGAAACGAGTGAAAGGGCAGGCTGCCGGGTGATATGGGACGAGCGTGCGCAGTACGCGCTCCCGGACAGAGCCGTGCAGCCGCCAGAAGGCGCAGCGACGCGCCTCGGCATGCGCTCCCGTGGTCTGTAAAATTATGCACTCGACTGTACTTGAATTTTTAAAGAGACACTGAAGAGGAATGTTCCCTTGCGCAACTATACGCTCTTAAGGTCGTCTAAGATATTCTTTCTTGTTAGGCTAGGAACAACGCAAAATCAGACTAGAGACTATGCCAATTAATTAGTTGCAAGTCAGCTTTCTACTACGCCAGAAATTTGGGTTTGTTTACTAACATACAGTCATGACAGTGTGTGAATTATAGAACAGGTACTCAATCTGATTCAAATACACCATTTTCAGTTTCACCCTCAGATCCCTGGAAACACGTTTATGACTTGACATTTGAACAGGTATGTTGGGTCATGCTTGCCGCAAGCAGTAAGCAACAAAGCGAGGCTTCTGTGTTTCTCCTTTGAGTCACATTAAATTGCCAATACTAAAAGATACATATTCAAAAGGGACATCGATACAATCATAAGCATTCAAAATCGAGGCTGCGACACACCTACGTGAAAAATTTTATCGAAATGACGCTGGTGCATTAACACAGACGCTGATAAAACTAATCGACACAGACATAGTAAAACCAATAGTGATCTGCAAAGGCTATTTATAGCCAGTAAACGGTAACACAAGTAAGCACATAACGCGCAGACATGGTACTGCACATTAGCATGCATAGGAAAAAAATAGCCAGACGATGCACCACGTGTGTATACAGGTGGTTTGCTCGTTCCGCCATATATGTGTGCTGCATTATTTTCAGGTGCCATATCAACAGACCGAAACACAGGCATATGGTATTATTGACGGACAGGAGGCGGGTCATTTTCGAGAATCGCTAGAACGTTGGCGAGTTGATTTATCGTCAGAAGCTACTCGTTGCATGCATGTTCTTGACAAATCGGCAACTGAAGACAAGACAACGAATACACATCACTTCAAAAAATGAGAGCGACAAACGAAACGACAGACCACAGCGCTGACTCGCTATTTTGAAAAGAAGCAGAATAAATGGCATCCGAAAAAAAATGAAAACGAATAATCATAGCCCCAAGGATAGCATGTGTAACACCTGATGAATAGCTTGTGTCGTGTTCATGTTTCGGTTGGCCCTGTAGGGGTTTCTTGCTATGTTTTCTTTCAACTTGTGCATGCGTGGTCGTTATTCGTTTTATTGTTTTTTCGGAATGTATTTATTCTGCTTTGTTTAAAAATAAATTCTACTTGCAACTAAGCCCTGTTGTTTGTCGTTCCCTTTATTTACCCTTGTTTTTTTTTGTCATGCTGCTTATTCAGTTCAATATGGACGCCCACCAACTTGCCCGTCAGCCGTCCTAATGAAGACACAAGATACGAGGCGTTGTGTATTTATGTTCCTTTTGTCTTCTATTTTCTAGGTGTCGAGTTCGTACCACTACCCGATGCATTTAAGTAGCACCTTAATTTAACATATGTACCTCACATTATCTCTTAACTAAATATCAGATAAAAAGAAACGTTTTAGAAAGGCGCTAAAAAATCATAATCAATTTTACTTGAAAACAGTTCTTATAAAAGGGCAGATGCATCAGCTGCCACCAGCAATGATTGTTCGCTATCCCCAATCTGTGGAAACCTATTGCAAATATCCCAAGACATTTCCGCATTGTACAAAGCAAGTAGAGTGCTGCTACTGCGATCACCACACCCGGTCCAATATTTTTGCATGCAGCCCGGAAAGGAGCCCTGTGCTGCGTTGATGTTACTCACTGGTCTAACCTTTAAAAAAAGAAACTTCATAAAGACCTAAAATATTCCTCCCTTTTTATGCAAAACACATCAAGTACAAGATTTTAACACGTCGTTGGCTGTGTAAAATGGCGCTGCCCTGAAAGAAGTATTCACAATCTGCTGTTATGGCGAATGCTACTAGAATTACAGGAGCAGGGGGGCCGTGAAGTGAGGAGTCGGAGGCAACGTACTGTTAGCCGGTCCACTCGACCTGTCACTGGCACGCTTTCGGAGAGCAGGACGAGTGGGAGTATATATACCGTATAATCGAAACACTTGAAGCCCCGGCATTCTCTGTGGGGCAGCCGGAAAATACATGTAGAACCTGGTGGTCCCTAGTTGCGATTATTCTAATTCACGGTTACATGGTATGGTTGTGTAATGACACATCCAGCCAACGTATCTGCCTGCCCTTCGTAGCCGTGATCGTCGCTACCCGCCGTCCATACGGCGCCTATACGGCCAACATCAGTGTAAAGTCACCTAGCACTCGTGGTGCTGCTCCTGCACCTCTTTTCAGGCGAGAGCACTGAGACTGCTCCGGGCTGTTTGAAGCGGATTCGATGGACGAGATAATCTTATTCTTGTTCGATCCCTGAAAGAACCCGGCTCTCGAGAGAGAACTTCCAGCGTGCTTTTGAGTGCTTCTGCTCTTCCCATGGGATCCACCATTATGCGTATCGGGTCACCTAGAAGTTACGCAAGGGGGGCATATTTCACTCTTAATCAGCCTTTCGGTCAGCAATGAAGAGTTTCTGTAGACCTATAAGAGTTAAATGCTAAACATGACTAACTATGCACTCGTTATTCTGCATTTAAAGCGTACGATAAGGACAGCCAACGGGGACTTAAGCCACGTCTTCTTGCTACTTTGAGCAGCCACGCATTTATGTACATGCCAAAAAAGGGGGAGGGGGGCATTTAACCATAGTTCAATATCGCTCATTCTGTGTCCTGCTCCTTTATAAGGCAGTATGATTCCTGATACCTCACATTGGTACCTTTTTCCACTATGTAGATCTGAACCATGTTTTACGGCACACTTTTTATACCAGTCATACAAGTGAAGGTGCACCGTTTGAAAAAATAACAAACGTACTACAAACCTACTCCAACGAAATTTGTTTTCACCGATGCTACGAAAATAATTGCGTTACTTTTTTTATGTCAACATGTTCTCTGTACTGAAACCAACTCTTATAATGTCAAGGACATTATTAAAGCTGTAAACCCCCACTCTTGTAAGCCAGATCATTAATTAAGGTATCTCACTTGCGTGCGTATCTCTAAGATAAATGCACCGCTTGAAGAGGATCGCAAGACAGCTCCAGCATCTAACATTTTTTCATAAATGACAAGTACCTACGCAAGGTGAAGCTATAAATGAAATGTCTCCGACAACAGCTGCAAGCCAATTTTGCTCTCTGACCAACTTTGCCACATGTTTCCAACGACCACAAATGCCAGTTGCAAACAAAATTGCATGTGAAATAGGACTAAATTGCCGTGTAAATGAAACAAAACAATTCCAACTGTTTAGGTCAAAATACATAGTAGGTGGCAATCATGCCACACATAGTGGCACAGAAGTTTGTAAAACTTGACGAAACCAAAAATATACATATACAAAGGGGTGCAAAGCTATAATAAAATTAAACAGTTGGCTCACTTCCGTGTCTTTTTCTTTTTCTTTTGTGCAGCGTTAGCTAGTTCTAATCTTTCAACTAGTACCACTTCCCTAAGAATTCTAACGTAAAGGCTAGAGCAAATCTTTAATGTTCTTCCTCGACCATCAGAATTTACCATCACTCACACACGCGTAAATAAACAGACCAGACATTAACTATTTACACAGCTAAAGGGAGACTAGCGCTGTTTGTGAGCTCCTGGACCACCCTCATGTAACACTGGAGGGTGCGTCCTCAAGCTCGCAAAAGGGTGTTCTGCAGGTGTCTCAACGTATGTCACGTGAGAGCGTCGCGGGTCGATGAGACTGGAACCATCCGTGGACGCTGCCGTCAAACGTGGCGCCGACGGGATAAAGTCCACGCCTCCAGAGTGCTCTAAACCTGGAGCGTACTGGACCGAAGACACCGGTAGAGCTGTGATGGCCTTGCCATGAAGACCCTGGACGACTTGCAGGGCCTGCAATGCTGGGTCCCCACCGGGTGCCGCGACACCCACAGGAACTCCAGCAGGAGCCGCTGGAACGGCCCCATGAAAAACAGCAGCAACTCCAATCGGCTTCTGGGCGAGACGGTTCGGCAGAGCATTCTGCAATACTACAGGCACCCTGTGTGGTGGCGGTGGTATTGGCCGACGGTGGAACCACAGGCCTAGGTCTTCTGTGGCCAACTTGAAGACGGCTCCTGCAGAGTAGCCAGCTGCGACGCCCGGCTCATTCGTGTCAATTGTGGCGCGGAAGCCATTGTGGTCGGCCACATATTGTACTTGCCGGTAGACACCATGAGCATCAACGAAGCCGTACGAGCCTTGCTTACGGTTGTGGCCATCGCTCACCTCATATCGAACTTGCTTGTTACCATGGCCGTCCGAGATCTCGTAGCCGAACTGGTACGGCTGCGGCACCTACGAAATGAACACGTGAGCATCGTAAACTGTTTTTTATCTACGCTCACGTACGCTATCAACACGTATTGTCACAGTTAAATCAAACTTATGTTTTAAAACAAACACGATATTAGTACCAAGTGATTAATGCTTAACACCAAAAATCAGAACTCAGAGCGAATGACGCTCTGCCCTCACGTGCCAGTACGTTCATTACTATTGATTATTGTTCTTCACAGTGTCCGTACCAACAATGGCGACAGTAATGTTGCGAAATAGATACAAATTATTGTACAGACAAAAAGCCCATGGCGATTGTTTGAAACAAGCTTTCGACGATACGGTGTACGATGCACTCTACTATGGGAAATCAAAAAGCTGTCAAGATAATTACCAGCGTATTCGGAAACACTCCTTGACTGCAGCTTGTCTTGCCATCATCTTCAATGCAGCACAAACTCGCTGCATTTAGACGGTGCCAAGACTGCACAAATGCTTCTTAACGAGCTGCGTTGAAGGCAGTGGCAAGTCAAGCTCAGTGAAGGTGTGTTTCTGAATACGGTGGGTAAATATGTGTTTAGAAAAGTGTTTATTGATTCACAGTACTTATAACTCTACAATGAGAGAGAAATAAATCCCGAAGCAAAAATAAATTTCGTAAGACTGTGTTTAAAAACACTGTTCAGCGATTTAAAGAACTAGATTCTAAACTATGGGAGGGCAAAAAGCCGTCCCGCCGAGTGAAAGAGGACTATATATTCTCTAAACATTTGTGGGCTACGAAAAAAAATTGTTAACAGTTTAGACTACTGGGTACTCTATTATGGGAGAGCATAAAGCCATCCCGAGGGTGAGGGATGGCTTTGATGATGCGATGGCAACACTTGATGAGGCCGTGGCGAGAAAAGTTACAAAACGATAAGCCTACGTGGCACGTTTTTGTGTTTAGAAAAAGTGGTTAACAATTTAAAGTACTCGATATTCTAATATGGGAAAACTCAAAGCCCTCCCTTGGGCCTCGCACTTGATGAGACCCCATCGACAAAAATTACGCTCGGACCGGGTCCTGGATTCTAAAGTGACTGATGTGTGTTTAGAAAAAGTTTTTAACAATTTATAGTACTTAGTACTCCAATATAAGAAACCAAAAATTTGCCCCAGCTTAGAAGATTAGATAGTTAAAGCAACGTTCAAGAATGACAGCGATGTAGGGTAGTAGTAATGCGTTAGTACCAGCCGGTGTGCGCAGCCACTCCACGCGATATAATTGAGCAACGCTTTTGTTTATGAATCTGTGTGTGTCATTGACCTGGTTGTTCAGATAGAGGTCAACTAGAACGCGTGACCGTCTATTCAAAAAACAAAAAAAAAACGATTTAATCTCACTTATGACTTCAGGCTTTTTGAGGTGGCTAACTTAAAGTTGCTAATTTAACATTACCAATTTTCTGGAAGGCATTTCAAACGTCTCTGGCGTAAATGTGAAGAAAATTATTCTTTGTTGCTAATTCCTTACAGCAAGGGCACAGCCAGAGCAAGGGTCTCAAGCTCACTTCAGCTAGAGGAATGCCGTCAAAAAATTCAGCCTACATGGGCTGGAATGCGACAGTCAAGATCGTGAAAGCGGTGAAAATGGGGGAGGAGTTGACCTTGCTCAAAATGACATCGCTATTTGAAAAAACACAGCTCTGTCATATCGCATATATGTCCATTTTTGTTGAAAATTAGGCGTCGGGTTTCGCAAAACGTACCGAATGCCACAACAACATTAATGTGTACGTCCATTAGAAGTATTCAGTTTTCGTTTTGCAGTGACGTAACTTTCATAGCGAATCATTGTGAGCGCACGGGATGCTTCACGAAAACAATGCTTGAAACCAGCACCCCCCTCACTAATTGACCCGCACAAAGCATTATTCATTTTATTTAACGAGAAAATAATGCGAGTGCTATAATTGGTAGTCACAATACTTAACTTCGCCTGCAGACACAGGCCGCACATGAAAGGTACGCAAGCCGCATGCGGCCCGCAAGCCGCAGGCTTGAGACCCCTGCCCAGGAGGAAGTCAAAATGCAAAACGTGGAGGCCTATAAGTTACGGTTATGTGCTGCTGACCCTAAGGATGCGCGTTCAATTCCGCCCGCGATGGTCGCATTTCAATTAGGAATAAATGCAAGTGTACTGTGTGATCTCAGAGCTTCTTAAGGAATCCCAAATAGTAAGCTCTCAACTACGCCGTTGCTCATTATGTGAGTCACTTTGAGACGTTGAACCGCATAAGCCAATAAACGGAACTTCGATTTTACCATGAGTTAACCAAAGCCTTTACATATTCTTATAACGTCCATTTTTCCTAAGGTATAAGAACTTCTAATGTGATTGAGAACCATGCAAAAAAACTTAGAAGCCTTATCACCAATGATAGCTCCTAAGAAGACTTGAACTTTTCTCCTTCTGTATTTCTATTAGCTTCACACAACGCTACCTTCCTCTGAATAAAGTGGATTCATCTTATTTGCAGAAGAGAGAGAGAAAACGACCTTATTCAGAATGACGACAGAATGGATTAGGCTGCCTCCACGAAGAGAGGCGACCTAAAAGAACTTAGAGAATGCATGAGCTTTGCCTTCCAAAGTAGTAGTAGTAGTAATAAAAGTTTCCAATCATGAAATTGGTCCCCGTGAGCCTCACTTCGGTTCACTGTTCGGTTCAACAAAACCGCAGGAACACAAACAAATTGTGCGCGTAACATTCGTCCTTGCAAGCCATCTTTGAAAGCCTGCTGCGAGTGCAGTCGTGAATATCCCACTATGTCATAAATCCCCCTTTTTAGATTCGGTGAAGTACCGACTACGTATCCGTAAACTGCCACGCGCACGTGGCAGTTTACTTTACTGTCAGCACACTTCGTTGGGGCTGTTGCTGATAGTGATTAATTGTGCCTTAATGCTTTGTTTTGAGTGCAGGTCCATAACACCCACTCGCGGTGCAATTCACATGTTTCTACGTCTAGTGCTATTTTGAGCATCTAAGACGCGATATCACGTACTGTAAAGGGTCGATCGACTCTTACTCCATGACATTCATACAGTGTCTTTTTCTGAAGTAGCTTCAAGCTACTTCAGAAAATGTGGATCGGATGCAGAACACCCGTACGTCACGCGTAAGGTCTGTCTTTGATTTTCACTCAAATCGAATATACACTTTTGTTCAAGTTTTCTCAATTCTTCACTCATGGACAACAGTGACAATGGCGTCAGTGTCGACGCTGTCATTAGAACCTTCAGCGAACAAGACAGGCGTGCCTTCTGGTTAACTTACGTGCCCCAACACAACATTTAGCATTACACAAATACTTAATGCAAGTCTCAATACATAAATGACATTTGCATATTTTTGTCAGACTTAATACAAATATTTTTTGCATAATTTATGAATATTTGCAGAAAGACGTGCCGTGAACTGTGAATATTTTCATAATTGTCCTGAACTGTCCAATTGTCCTTGGTGCTGAATACGTCTGGCTCTTTCATTGGGAATTCAATACTTCGTCTACTTCTGTAATATCCTGGCTGTTTTATGCAGGGTGAGCTAAACGAAGCCAAAATCTGTTTGTTGTCTGGGAACCTCCTCCACCTTCTTCTTTTTGTCCTTTTCTGGGGGCTCATACCGAAATCTGGGAAACGGCTGAGTAGTAAGAGAGTTTTAGGGGCGAAGCTCCTTATGGCGTGGCTTGGGCGTCCCTCGTATGTAACCACCAGTGGCACATACCCGAAATAGGTATAACACTTGACCTCCAAGGTGGTGCCAGTGAGAGATTTCTTCTGTGCGTTGTTTAACAATAAAAAATAGTGCTCAATGTACATGCCAATGGCTGCTAATGGGGAATGAGAGACATGAGCATTCGGCTTTTAGTCAACGCGCACGCTGCGATCCCCATTAGCAGCCATTGGCATGTACATTGAGCACTATCGGACAAGAAAGGGATGCTACATTATACTCGCTGGGTGTAACCTCCTTAGCTTTAGAAAGGTTTAGCGAGCGTTGAGCCGCAGTGCCATGAATACAATGAACTTGTATATACCATGAATGAACTCAAGGTGGTTAAAAATGAGAAGTAGATACGAAGCGCAAGCCGTAAGAAAGTAAAAGCCGAATTCTCCTGTCTCTCATTTCTCATTAGCAGCCATTGGCATGTAAATTGAGCCCTATCTGACAGGGAAAGGTTGCTACGTTATACTCGCTGGGCGTAACCTCCTTGGTTTTCAAAAGGTTTAGCGAGCGTTTGGTCGCAGTGCCATGAATACAGTGAACTAGAATATACCATGAACTCGAGGTGGTTAAAGGTGGGAAGTGGACCCAAAGCGCAGGCCGTAAGAAAGTGTGCGTGTGCCACCTCTCGTTTAGTCCTTGGAATGTCCGCTGGATGGCGGTGCTTCTATATGGGGAATATATGATAAAAAGATGCGAGATGGTGGGACTTGGAGTGTTGAATAGATGAACGAACGGACACACAAACAGATGCATGGATGGACGCATGAACGGACGCAGGGGCGGATGCATGAAAGAACGCAGGGACGGGCGCACAAACAGACGCATGGACGGTCACACAGACGGACGCATGGACGGACGAAGGCTTCGCCCCACTCTCCATCATTCACTCCGTGGATATGCTGCTATTTTTTTAGTATTTTTTCAATTTACTACTTATATAAGCTAAAATTAACTAATATATCGATTTTAAGTAGGAATAATATTAGTGAGACATTCAAAAGATCAAGAATTTAGCTAGATATTCTTTTGGCATAAGTCATAAATTCCTCCATAGCGAGGAAAATATCCCTGTCACTGCAGCCCAGAGGAGAGGGGCCCGAAAAAGACAATCTATTTCGTATATATGGAGACCCATATTTCGAAGAGGTGGCACCATGAGTTTTTGCTTAATGACATGAACCGCGCCAAGATCGAAAGCAATGATTAACGGTTTCCTCCTCATTACAGTATTCTTGTCGATGCG